TGTTAATGGCTTTTCAAATATTGGCCATACAGTGCCTGGCCCAAAAAGTAATCAATGTTGGATGACTAGTGAGCAATGAATGAGATAAATCTGTAGAGGTGCATAATTTAGTACAATACCTAGAATAATTTTGTAGTATCTGCTATACCTTATAATATTGACTATAATGAATATTATGTGATGGTGATAGTGGTAATGATGAATATACTAAATAAAGACTAAAATTTTACCGATCATACTTAATAAGACAAGAATTATAGTATGTAAATGCTTATTTAATTGCAGAAACAAGCACTCTTACCTTATTGCTATAAAATTAAGTTCAAAAGTGTTTTAAGTAGTACCTATATTATAAAGAAGTGATTGATTTTTGCACTAAAGCAAGTTCTAAACTGAAGTTAATAGGCGGAAAGAGTACAGTGGTTGTGTGATTCAGGCCACAAAGATCCGGGTGTGACTATGAGCTCTAACATTTACTAGGTGTGTTATTTGGCGAGTTTATTCTATAAAATCTCAGTTTTCTTAGGGAAAGCAGTAGTGCCCATCTCACAGTATTTTTTGAGATAATTAAATAATATTTATTGTTATGCTTAGGACACTATTTGGCACAGGATTTGGCACATAAAAAGTACTTGTCCAATGTTAGTTTTCTTTATTATTTTTCTTTTTGTTGTTTCATTTGATATAATCAATGAACATTAATTCACTTTTTTTTCTGTAAGCATTTTTTGTGCATCTATAACATATCAGTCACTATACTAAGCAGTGGAAGAAATTCTGGGATGAAAAAAATTACTCATGGAAGATATAATTTAGAGAGGTCCTGTTACAGAGTGTATTTTAAAGATTTTATCATTTATATTATATCCAGAAATAGATAATTCTAAATTTAATAAACTTTTAGACTAAATCAGTCCATTTTGCCAGCCTATATAGACAGGTATAAAGCAGATATCCCTTAGCAATTGTCAGTACTAAGTATAAAGTTTAATTAAAAACTACATTACGACATGTCATTTTTTGAAACACGGAACATCTTGTCATTAATTTTCCTCTGTCTCTGAGAATAAAATAATTTAGTTGAGTACATTTTTAGTAAATTACCTAAGTTGATTATGTATTTTATATTTTAGAAGGTGAAATACTGAATGCATATCTTTATTAGGATGATTAGAAAGTCAACTTTTAGGATACTGGGTTTGAACTAAAGTCCTTGAATTGAGTCATATACAGTACTCCTTTTAAACATATTTACTCCTTTGTCTCTTCCAAAAAAAGGGAAAAAAATCTTCTACTTAGACTGAAATTTACAGTAGGAAATATTTTCTCCCACTGTATCATTGTAATACTAATATGGCCTTTTGCTTTCAGTTAGGGGTAGAAGAAGAAATCTGTCACTTTCTTCCCTCTGAACAAATTCTCTTTAAAACAAATAAAAAGCTCTCTTGTCGATGGTGAATATTACACAAAAGGTTTTTATCACTGGAGGCTTCTTTTTAAATAATCAAAACCATTTCAAAGAAAAGCATAATGCAGAATACCTCTGGGAAAAGTAACACAGATATCCATTCAAAAATATGTGGCAAGAGACTCAATCTTATAACCTAGATTCTATAAAAATCTCATGGGCATCAAATGTCAAATGGAAGGCTGCTAGCTCCAGGAATAGAAAATGAGGCCTTCCCCTAAAGTAAGGGGTAGAGTTTCAATGTCACAGAATCTGCAAGGATGAGATGCATTAGACCATGAACGTATAGTTCAGCTAAATTGGTTAAGTT